GAGGGCACTATAATGAACAGTGAAGGCAATAGTGGCCTAACTGAGGAAGTGACGAAAACTATTTGTTCTGCCAACGTAATGCCCATCTGCCAAGTCGAGATGTTGCGACGTTTAGTCACTACATTCCAGAGTAAGTTATATCTTAGCCACTCTGACCAAATCAGTTTATCTAAGACCTTATAAAATGTAGATTAACTATTGATAGTTTGGAAGATTTTTCTAATACAAACTCTTTGTGAAATTTGAAAATTATAAATAACTTGAAAAAATCGAACTGCCTAAGGCGGGAATTTAAATTCTTTGTGAAATATTTTTATTAGCAAGTATTATTAGACTGTGAAACAATAATGGGACGAATTTAGGGATTTTGGTGCATGATAATTAGAAATTATTTGAACAAACTTGTTGAAATAAATAAATAATTCACGAGACTATTCCCACCTTTCGTTCCCACCACTGAAACTCCTGTGTAGCCAGGATCTACAGCTTGACCGCCACAAAAACCCAACCAATGAAGGAAGAAATAAATAAATTATTGGAATATCAATTTATTTAGTTTTATGTTTATTTCGCAAGAAAAAAAGACTATTTGCTACATCTCACATAAGTTTAAAATGATCGCCAGAATAGCAAAGGCAATGTTAGATAATTTTATAATTTAATAATATTATCGATTAAAAAATCATCTATGGAACTCCAACAAGTAACTAAGTAGGTATTTATTTATAATTTAGCAATAAACATAGTGGGAAATGGTCTAGTTCTCAAGGGTTCTTTAATTTTATGACTTATTTTTTTCCAAACGCAGGCACTATCTTGTCTCTCCAAAAATCTCTGGCTAATAAAATTCTACCTAATATACTTTAGCTTTAATATTCATTATTACGCCAAAACCACCCTTTTTGTGCCGAGTAAAATATGGCCACGTACACCAAATTTATTTATTTATCTGCGTCTCGTTTTAGTTTATGTGCCGCCCTGATAAGGGGCTATTCGGGACACATGTCACGTTCAAAGGGGAGGGTGGGCCGTGACATCGCAGCGTACTATGGATTTTGGAATGAAATTTATATGAAAGGTATTCATAAATAAAGCCCTTTGTGTTAGGCCTTTTTTGCTTTTGAGTGCCGATAGTAAATACTTTCGTGTGAAATAGGTCTGCTTGTAAAATGTATTTGAAATTATTTTTTAAAAATTGTGAATATAATTAGTGGCAGGTTAGGAGACGAAATTATTAAATGATGTAACCAGTTACTGTGGAAATTTAGTTTTGCATAACATTTACCGCGACTTTGATTTGTTATTTCAATCATTTAAAGTAATTAAGTCATATCTTAATCATAATATTGATTGTTTATCAGTATTTTAATGAGTAATTAGTTTTATGTCAATTTAAATTTAAAAGAAAGATACAATTTTCNGTGGAATGCTCCCTGTGCTAAGCAAATATAACTTTGATGACTTTTTTGTTATAGATAATAAACATAGCATAGTACTCTAGAAAGCAAATATAACTTTGATGGGACTTTTTTTTTCTTTGTGTTTTTGTTATGGATAATAAAGTAATAGTACCTACTTGCTTGTCTAGTGTTCTAGAAATGCTCTGAAAGCTCAATCATAACTTAAATTTTTCAAGATTTAAATTGCAAGAATTCATAAAATGTTAATGAAACCAATCGCAGACTTGGGACTTAAGTTTAGATAGAGATGCTCAAATTGCTAAAATTGATATAATTTGAGGAGCTTTAAAACTTACTTTTTAAAATTATTTAACGAGTAAGGAAAATTCAAAACTGAATTTATCTGAACTCATGCTACCAAAGTATCTAAAAATATAAGTTTAAGTTAACTCAAACGGCCCATTTATTATCTTGCTTACAAAAAATCTAGCACGAATGAACAACTTACAGGAGCCAATTTCGCTCAGCCATCTAATTAGAGAAGCGGAAAAATACGTCGCGTAAATTTTTCCATGCTCCCTAAACAAAAGGAATCCTCGGAGGCTTATAACATCAGTACGGAAAATTGGTTGAACCATATCTTGGCCGCGAGAGGATTGTAGCGAGCTAGATAGACGAATATTACTAGGAGGGTTACCAGATGATGAGAATTTTCGGGACATTTAGAAAATGTATTTTAAAATAAATTGAACACCGTGGAGGTCAGTGCTAAACCCCAAAGAATTGTCTATTGTTCTAGTTCCTCAGCATGCAAAAACTTAATAACCTTTCCACTTCCTTAGATAAGAGTAGATAGATAGATAGATAGATAGATATTTATTTGCATCACCATAATGTAACATAGGATAGATAAGGCTTAAAGCTAAATCGATCATTATGGACCCTGTCGGGCACTGCAATTAGAAGAGAGGAGGATCTACTTTTAATTTATCACAATTTGGACTATAAAAGTATTAGTCGTTAATTTGTTTATTTTAATATTCATTATTTATACATTAATATTATGTATAATTATATTTTACTGTAACTTTCCTATTACAATTTATCATTAAAATACTCCTGAATTGTATAGTAACTTTTTTCTATTAGTAAGACTTTTAGTTTTTTAATAAATATTTTATCTTTATCTTCTCCTTTTATTGAATTTGGCAGCTTATTAAATATTTTAATTGCCATTACATAAGGGCCGCTTGAGTACATATTAAGTCGTGATATTGGTAGGACTTTCTGTAGCAATCGTATTATTATAGAGTAATAATACGATTGCTACAGACAGCTATGACACCGTATGTAATTATGGTTGATTTAAAAAACATGCAACTACCTACTTATTGTTTACCTAAATGTTTTATACTTAGTCTTTCAGACCTAAACAATAGCAAAATGTTTGCAGAAATTTTCGAAACACAGATTTGTCTTTTACCTTTAATGTCATTGTTTTATCATTAATACATACTTGGATTTAGTTAATAGAATTATGTGAATTTTGATAAATAATCTAAATACCAGAGAATTAATCCGGAACCTCGCAAGTAATTCCGGGACATTCCTTGAAATCCCGACCGCTGGGCAACCCTAATCGCGAATTAATCCCGGTTCTTCCCCGAGGGCACTATAATGAACAGTGAAGGCAATAGTGGCCTAACTGAGGAAGTGACGAAAACTATTTGTTCTGCCAACGTAATGCCCATCTGCCAAGTCGAGATGTTACGACGTTTAGTCACCACTACATTCCAGAGTAAGTTATGTCTTAACCACTCTGACCAAACCAGTATGTCTAAGACCTTATAAAATGTAGATAGCTATTGATAGTTTGGAAGATTTTTCAAATACAAACTCTTTGTGAAATATGATTATGATTTTTTAAACATTATTAGACTGCAAAACAATGATGGGACGATGGCAAACAGTGGCCTAACTGAGAGAGTGACGAAAACTATTTGTTCTGCCAAGGTAATGCCCATCTGCCAAGTCGAGATGTTACGACGTTTAGTCACTAAATTCCAGAGTAAGTTATTGTCTTAACCACTCTGACCAAACCAGTTTTTCTAAGACCTTATAAAATGTAGGTAACTATTGATAGTTTGGAAGATTTTTCAAATACAGACTCTTTGTGAAATATGATTATTTAATATGATTTAGCAAACATTATTAGACTGTGAAACAATGATGGGATGTTGGCAATAGTGGCCTAACTGAGGGAGTGACGAAAACTATTTGTTCTGCCAACTTTTTGTTGCGACGTTTAGTCACTACATTCCAGAGTAAGTTATATCTTAGCCACTCTGACCAAACAAGGTCTATGTTTGCTACCTACCATTTGTTTAAAGCCATATAAAATGTAACTATTAATAGATTTTTGAAATACAAACTCTTTGTGAAACCTTATGTTTATGTATTATGCTTCAGCAAATATTTATTAGATTGTGAGACAATGGTGGGACAAATTTAGAGATTTTGGTGCACGACAAAGATTTATAAGTTACTGGGGACATTATTCTTTAGAAATTATTTGAACATACTTGTTTCAATAAATAATTAAGTGGAATATCAGTTTATTTAGTTTTATGTTTATTTCGCAGAAACATAATAGCACAGGCAATGTTTGTTATCAATTAATAATAATATTTAGGATTAAATGATCATCTATGGAACTCCAATAAGAAACTGTTTATTTATTATTTGTCAATAAACTTTATAGAAAATATACGTTAAGTAATTTTTTTTATTTTACGTCTTATTTTTTCCAAACGCAGACATTATCTTCTCTCTCTAAAAATATCTGCATAATAAAATTCTACCTAATATACTTTAGCTTTAATATTAATTATTACGCCAAAACCACCCTTTTTGTGCCGAGTAAAATATGGCCACGTACACCAAATTTATTTATTTATCTGCGTCTCGTTTTAGTTTATGTGCCGCCCTGATAAGGGGCTATTCGGGACACATGTCACGTTCAAAGGGGAGGGTGGGCCGTGACATTGCAACGTACTATGGATTTTGGAATGAAATTTATATGAAAGGTATTCATAAATAAAGCCCTTTGTGTTAGGCCTTTTTTGCTTTTGAGTGCCGATAAATAGTTTCGTGTGAAATAGGTCTGCTTGTAAAATGTATTTGAAATTATTGTTTAAAAATTGTGAATATAATTAGTGGCAGATTAGGAGACGAAATTATTAAATGATGTACCAGTTACTGTGGAAATTTAGTTTTGCATAACATTTACCGCGACTTTGATTTGTTATTTCAATCATTTAAAGTAATTAAGTCATATCTTAATCATAATATTGATTGTTTATCAGTATTTTAATGAGTAATTACTTTTATGTCAATTTAAATTTAAAAGAAAGATACAATTTTGAAATTAAATCGAGATAAATACAACAAATAAATGCGAAAAAAGAGTTAGGAAAATGATAAGAAATACGAATCAGCATAAAATAAATTAATAAATTAATTACAACAGATTCCGAAAATAAACCAAATTAAATAAATAAATAGATAAACAAAACAATACAAAAAATGTTTATACATTACCTGCGCCGACCACTAGTACCGCCATCTGCCACCCCACAGCGTCTGTAAAATAAAGCGAAGTGTTCACACATCACGCCAAATTGGAAGAAAAGGTCAAAGTGACAAGACAAAACGGGTGTCGGTACACCCGAAAACAAAAGAAAAACAACTAGTCAACAACACTTTAGCACGTCACGCGAGCGAGGGACTGAAATCGCTTTAGGGAGCGTTTGGTACAATCAAATTATACCCCAAAACGTTCGTAGAAACCAGGAAAACGCGAGAGACATTCAAAGAAACTCACCTTTTAGAATGTGCCAGTATGTAGCCAGTCTGGATATTCTTGAAATATTAAATTTAAAATCTCTGGGCAACATGAAGTGTCGCTAACGGCAGCAGCTCAGTCGCGTCTAACTTTGCGGCGAGCCGCGCCCCTACACGCTACTTGTACTGAATCTCTACCCCTATACCGAGCTTCGGGAGGCGATAAATTACATGCGCGATTGAGCTTAACTGTACTGACACCCTCCGTTTTATTTTGAACCTTATTGAGTAAACTTAAGGTTGATATTTGAGTGGTGAATTTGGTAGATACGGCGCTCCGAAGTCTGCCGACTGCATTTGGGTACCCGGGGATGCTGCGCAAAATAGGAGCACGAAATATGAACGAGACTGCGAGGCGCTGGCGGGTGCGGAGGGGTGTGAACAGACAGGGGATATTTGAATAGACCTCGCCAGCTCTTTCCCGCGGCGGGGGGAGGGGGGCGCCCGCTGTTGTGTCGGAAACACGCTCCACGGTACAAATCGGCAATGTACAGTTCAGCAACAAATGTGCACTTTCCATCACAGTTTTTATCAAGGCCTCACTGTTTTTGGAAAGAAAAAATAACAAAAGAGCGTCGAGTAATTGAATTCGCCCTCATTACATTATCTGCGAAGCAAGATGTTTTGTAGGAAACGTAGGTATTCAATTCTCTTTTGTTTTGTTTTGCTTAATACATACCTGCCTTTAGTCAGACCCTTTAGTGGTGAACAGCATTCAATAAAAGTCAAATTGAAATGGTTAGGTATGGAAAGTGTAGGTTTGCAAAAGAACCGAATTTATTCAATTGAGAAACTCTTTCTGTATCCTGCTACTTACATCTGAACAAAATAGCATCACATTTTCTAAATTACTCAACAATATTATTTCTTCTATAAAACAGTTGAATATAGAAATCCATGAATGCAATACAATAAAGGCAAATGCTATTCATAAGCTACGATTCTACAAGTCTTGGACGTAGAATAGGCTGTCGATTTGGCTGCACATACTGAAATAAGAGAAAGGCTTAGGCCCACACTTGTTGGGCGTATGCCAAAATGTACGAGAAAGCGGAACATTCGCTCAAATATCATAAACTTAGACACATCAGGACGTTCTTAGTAGCCCATTACGTTTGCAAGGAATAGCTGAAAATATGGAAAAATCGCGAGCAAGACTAGAAACACTTGTGCCAAATGGAAAACCGATAACATTTCCGCTGTAATTCTCACACATGTTTTCTATTGGCCGGTAGATAAACTAATTTACTTTTCTCGGAATTAATGGAATTAATCCATTGACCTTCTCTGTCAATTATATAAGTCATTATTTGCGTCATCATGACGTGACGTCGATCATTCAGAACTCGAAAAGATCGTCATTTTTTGCAGAAAAGCAACTGACAAAAGTTAGACAATCATAATGCTCTCAATTCTTAATAATAATGTCAAGCTCAGTCGAGCTATATGATATTTTGTATCTACATAATACACATGCCAAATCGCGTTTGGCAGGCACACCATCATTGAATCACAGTGAACGATGCCTTAATTTAAAAGGATTAGAGATAGTAAGCTATTTAGGCCTGTTATGAGCCATTAGAGGCAGCGCATCGGTGCAACTGTATGCGAGCATAATTCCCATTGAACGTCAGATCGTCTCCGTGCCAGCTTACATTAAATTGGCCAAAGCCCAAGCTTGTTCAATTAATGGCTTTTGCTGAGCGGGCCTGAGGGGCAGTGACGTGAAAAATATTTTGTCGACTAATCGATAGTACTTATATCTCTCCAGACAAGGTAGGATATAACAAAAAGGATTAGCTTCTAAGTGTAAGCTTTAAAATGATCTAGTGGTGACAAGGACACATACTATTAAGTATAGCGTAGTGGTATGAAGCCTATAAGCCTTCCTCGATACACGGGCTATCCAACACAAAAATACTTTTTCAAATTGTACCAGAAGTTTCTGAGATTAACGCGTTCAGTCAAACTAACAAACTAACATCTGTATAATATTAAGTAATGAATGTTATGATTTTTTTCCATTCAGTATTCTCACTCAAATCAAGCCAAATTCAGTAATCAAAATAGAAAAATTCATAGTGTGACAGATTTGGGACCTCTCAATAGGTTTTGATATCGATAAACCATTGCCAGTGCCACTTTTGGCAACACTTCTGTGTGAAATGCGGCTTATTTGTCCCCAATCGTCTTCCTCGATGTTTGAGTTAGGATGCACGATAAGGAGCCAGCGGTATTTGCTTTTGAGATTCGATGGAGTTAGACGACTACTTATACGGGTATTAGTTACAATATCGTATTTACATTACCTTATTACATAAACGGTTTATTTGTTTTCGTTACATCTTCAATGAAATAAATATCGATTGTTTAAGATACTATGTTAGCAGCACTATTCATTTTAATGCGAGAAAATAATAGGTCTTAACCAACTGTTTTTGGGCATTATACTCGGTAGTAAATAACAAAAATTTTAAAATCATTGATTACGTCATTAAAGTAACTTACTATTGGAAATTGAAAATCATCGATAAGAGTTACTAGTGGAAATTTCGAAAACAACATACAAGAGAATTGATTTGCAAACACATAAAAATCTAGCCAAAGGAGTATCACACGAAAACAATGTCGTCTTAGGTAGAAAAAACGCGATGTATATTAACAAATCAGGTACCAAAGCACGGACGGAGACAATTAGAGACTCTAATTACGAATTAGCCCTTCCCATTGGCAGCGAAACAGGACATGTAAAAACAAAAAAGCATTACACCATTAGTTTTATTACGTACATGATAATTGAGGCGGAGAGCTTGGTGCCGGTCCAAATGGGAGGTCAAGAGCCCTATTCTAGGAAATGGCGGGAAACTTGGGGATTTTAAAGAAGGCAAAAAGTTCTAGACTGTTCCTAGACTAAATGAGGAAGAAAAGCATTAAAGGAATAACAGTTTTTGCATAAGAGCCATTAGAGTCTTTGGAAATAAAGGTAGCTATCATCATGATGACTTATTGACAGTGTTTGACAGAGTTCGATGGGAGTTGAGACCGACATAGGTTGAAAACTACGGAAAACCTGAAATTAAGAGCTTCTCAAAATCAGGTCATTTCTCTGACTTGCATTTTCTCGAAGTCTTTATGGCTTTTCAGCAGATAAGCTATTTGGTGGACATTATATTGGAATAGTAGTAGGTACTATTGAAAATGAGATACGGGATCTCTCTCGTCCACCTGGACAAACGACCTAATAAAGGTAAGGCACTTGATGCAAGTCGCTTCTAACCGGCTCAATCTGGAAATCATTTGAGGAGGCCTATGTTCAGCATAACTGTGGCTGAACGATAATGATAATGATTATGAACCGTGTCGTATTTACTAGACTACAAGAGCAGTAATATACCAGGCAGATATCATACTAGCTTACATTGTTCCAGAATATACCGCTCCAATGGAACCAGGTCAACATCGTCAATAGCCTGGGCCGCTGGGCGGTTTAATTTTACATAACGAACTGCATCTATGCGCCTGGCAGCTGATATTGGAGTTTTGGACGAGGCCGCCATTTTGAAATAACTACCATACGTAGGTAATAACTTAGCTGTAGATATTACATACATTTAAAAGTTTCGAAGGAGACAGCTCGGTCGGAATTATTGTCTCAAAATGCTTATTCAATGAATAAACACCTACAGGAACAGTATAAGATTTTTCTGCACATTAGGCTATTTGAAAACTTTGATTGTAATCATACATTGAAAGTATTGAACACAGCGTATTAATAAATTAACAAATGTAAACTTTTAAAAGATAGTGGGGTGTTTTTAATTCCGAGATGGATTCAAAATTTCATGTAAGTTACTAATGCTACGTACTAGATCTTGAAATAGAGATTTGTACTAAGTACTTTTGAATGCATGATAGTTGTTATTTTAGTATTAATTTCGTAACAAAATGCTAGTTTGTGTTACTATGTAAACAATCCCAGACATACTAATTAAAATTAACAAGACGTATGCATTCGTATTTGCATTGTTCCTAGATAAGCTGGATTTATGTGTTTTGTCTGCTAATTGGAAACGTAGTTTAGAGAAACCTGAAAAAGCTTTTATTTTAATTTTTGTACGTTTTAAGGAGTGTATTAATCCTACAAGTAAATAACATTATGCTAATAATAGCCACGATAGTCGAACGGTGAAGGAGTCGGAGTGGCCGTTCGAGATCCGAGGAACGCAGGTTCGAATCCCACCGCCGCGCGCTCGACTATTGTGGTGAGCCCACTCGTAACACAAGCTTATTTAGCTTACCACGAGGGGCTAACGGGACTATTAGTAATTTGTGCAATACAAATTGCTAATAATCTTTAAAAAAAAAATATTACTATTCGCATTGTTAGTTTGAACTAAAGAAATTCTATTCTCTATCAATAGAAAGCTCATTAAATGTACTATTATTATTAAGAGATTTTCAAGTTTAGTAAGCATCACGCGATTGCCCAGCAAGAAAACATGCCTGCTTGACTTTTAGGCCCCTGTCATAATTTGTATAATAATTTAAAATTACTTATACTTTCATGGGAAACCTTCACAGAATATTCTCAATTCTCAGTTATAGTACCCAAAAGAAATGCTCTCCAGCAGCAAGGAATATTAGTGAACTGAATTTACTGCAGCACTAAGGAAGTGAGACGGCCGCAGTTTCAATATGGTGCACGGTAATAAATATGTATTTCATGATTCATACATACACATAAATAATAGTTAATAAAATATGTAAGAAATAAGAGTAATAGAGTAATACCATTATTAATACAAAACCCAGAGGATACTTACCTAGTAATAAGACGTAATTCTAAATACATACTCTTAAACTTAAAAGGCCCGAAATATTTTACCCAAGAGGCAAAACCCAAAAATTTTCTCCACATTTTCCCGTTTTCATCAAAACTTCCACAGCACTATCTTCAACACGGTCTCAAGCTCAGTGCAATAGCAATATTTTTGTCTCCGAATAATCCCAACTTTACAGCCAAGTGCATCTCAAGATATTACCTTAAGAGCTTGGCGAAATCGCTTCTGCTTCATATATTTAGAGACTGGATTCACAAGAATTGGAAAATTGACCAAAAATATTCAGAAAATCCAAATATACAGTTTCGGCATGTTTTAAATTGGTCATAAATTTAAATTGGTCACTAAACTTTTCAAATCAATTCAAATCTTTAATTCAGTAATTAGACTTTGTCTAAGGCGCTATTACATGTCCCAAATACAGCTTACCCTACCACCACTTCGGGACAACATCTGGTGGTGAGAAGTGGCGGAAGAAACTAAGTACAGTTTATTACCTAACTACATATTAAACTTTTATATAAGTAGCTAAGTACACATTCGCCCATTCACTGCATAAAATTATTAGAAAGAGTATCTTTCCCAAAGATTTTGCAGTTTAATGCAGCTCGGAAAAAAGTCGGCAAGAACAAAGAAACTTTTACGAGAGGAGCCAGGAAAAAAAATACCTTTTTTATCGGGAAGTTTCCAGTTTCTACGATGCAATCTTCTGAAGTTGCTGTAGTTATTCTGAAAATGAAAAATAAAAAGTGATGTTACTGGTATATTTAGCCAATGTCTTGCAAGGTTTGAATTGGTGCTTAATATTAACAATTCAAAATACTCAAACAGGTTAATAATAAAGACGATTGATATAATCGAACTTGTAATTTCGTTCGTCATAGAAAAACTATTGGGTAGGACCTATCAGATCATATTTATTATCTTCATATTAAACTAATACTTAATTGAACTTAACAATGATTCAAGATTTTCTTTTTAAAAATTTTTCTTTGTAAAAATTACAAATTAAAAGAACAAAGACTCTATTTCTCAGATAATTTTTATTTATGGCGTATCTAGGTTTTGTAAATGTATTAATTTTTAATCATTTCAGTATGAGTATCGTTCATTCGTTTCAGCCAAATGACGTCCACCGCTGGACAAAGGCCTCCCCCAAGGTTTTCCACAATGCACGGTCCTGCGCTGAGCGCATCCAGGCTCTTCCCGCGACCTTTTACCAGATCGTCGGTCCACCCAGTATGAGTATAAAGGGCGCATAATATGACCTAAAATACTATTTTTTCGTGTGGACGTCTTTTTGCTATTGTATTATTTGATTCTGGCAAAAAATATTTTCATATTTTTCATTGTTCCCAAACCAAATTATTTCATAATACTGCGTTCAGACAACTGCATATAAACACAATATTTAACGAACGCAGTTAATTAGGTTTACGCCGTTATACCGTCAGTATCTGCGAGGGGACACGCAGCCTGAATTTAATTGGGAATTTATGACGTCATTAAATTGATGCAGAAATAGTGCAGCGGCAAACATTGTGTACCGACAGCAAAAAAGACGAAAATATTTGTGAAATAATTGTGCTTTGATTTTATTTATGTCAGTTTCCGAAAACTCTACAAAACGCTAAAATTGTCATTCATGTCAACTTCCCAAGAAATAGGCATTTGAACTACAAATGCTAAAAATTCAAGCTTCAGACTATTCAATTCGCAACGTAAACATATTATGACCAGTAGGAAACGGAATGTTGAAAGAAATAAATACAATACTTTATTCAGTGAAAAAATTACAACATACCCACCATAAATAAAAACAACGCATAAATCCCTATCACTGAAAGGGCACATTGTCATACTCAGCATGACAATGCTGTGCCAAAAACACCGTGTTGTAAGTATGTGTCATTGGTGTCGTTTTGTGCTATTTTTTTTAGTAATTAACTTCAAAATTTTCTGCAGACCATGACTGATAAAGTGGCTCCACTGCTTCTTAGTCTGAGACAATACGTTGGTAGCGATTCAAAGAGTTGTTTCTCGTAATTACATTGCTACAAAATGGTTCACTTTACTAATTCCCTTATCTCTTTACATCCCAGTAGTTCCTAGTTTGCTGCAAGAAAACCTTCTTTGTGAGTTTTTTACCTAAATGCAATTTTTATTACACTTCAATTTGGTTTCACCACTTGCGATATTACAAAATAACCTACGAGTATACGTCTTGCTATAACAATGAAATTATGTTTTCTGAGCTGAAAGATCCTATTATAACGACCTACATTAATAATAAACCTTCGAATGTTTCACTATTATTTAGCGTCATTTCGAGGTATTTATGTGTTTTTTCTGTCGCTACGTCAGACCGTCTCTATAAATCAGTTCAATAATAATTATACTCGTGCGCCACCATTTGTAGTCATAACACCAAACAAAGGTGTCTGATAGAAACAACCTAATGTTATTTGCAATATGACACTAATAATAAGAGACATGAATCTGCCGAATTTCGATTAAGGTTTGAAAGTACAGAGCCAGCAATTCTATTATTTTAGTAAAATTGTGAACTTAAATAATTTACCAAGGAACGTCTCAATGCTCTTTTTCATCCAGCCTTTACCAGCTTTTCTAAGGGCAAGTTGAAATGGAACGCGAAAGTTTAAAATCTTATATTTTTCTAAGGGCGTTGGCCTATCGACCAAGCGAACACTGACAAGTTTGCTGAGACTGGTTTCTAATCTCTCCAAATTACTAAAGTTTTTGTTAAACCAAAACTCACGTGGCACATAACCAAGAACGTAGTCTTCACGAAAACCGTCTAAGAAGTCCATTCCTTAAATACAGGAAAATTTACACCATTAAATAGCAACCTGAGTACGCCATATACGTGTTCTGTTGTTCAATTAACTGTCCCATAGCTTCCCCAAACACTTGGCGAGATTGCACCATAAAACACCATGCGCGTGACCAACTAAGAAATATATCAAGTCTTTTGACTAAATGGTACGGTAGATGTTTCAATAATCAAGTCTTTTTTCCCATGTCGCTAAAAAACACGAAAATAAAGCATCTTTTTCTTTTTCTAGATCTACTTAGTTTCTTAGATTATTTCATTGGCAATCTTATTTCTCGTGGCCAGCTCTTTGCTTAATTTTTCGACATATCAGATTTAATGGTTGCCTTAGCAAGCAGCAAATCGAACGCACAGCGTTGAATATAGCTCTGTGTTTGGTTCATGTACAGTGCGCGTGGATGCACTGGGTCACACTCAGTGCATCCACGCGCACTGTGAGATCTCTTAGTAATGTTTGTGGATACGGTCGTCAGTACATTACATGCCTCTACATTAAACAAGAGTATTTATAAAAACAAGAAATTATTTCGCTGCTGTCTATACTCTATCGTTGAAATACGAGTACTATATTCCGATATTTTCAACGAATATTGTTCGAACCAACCAGTTCGATTTTCGCTGGAAAACTATGTTCATACTTTTATAACTTCTTCGAGCTAAATTTATTTGACTCGATGTTTATTATAACAGATGTATTGCCGTCCGACAAATGCTATTGTGGTTTTGGAAAATAAATCGTGGAATACAGGATTTGACTGGACTTCTATATTTATTTTTGTTTTTGCTCCAGTAGTAGTTTATTTGAACTCTAGAAAAATTTTAGGAATAACATTTCCTTTTATGATATGCACATAAATTAGACTACGTTGAAAATTATAGACATTTAAATCATTTATGATTTTGTTATACAGAAAAATTCAAAACCAAATCGGTCTTACTAGATTTACATAAAACTTCACCTAATCAAGACGAAACACGTGATGATTAGTTGCGATCAGCTCCGAAGAAAACTCAACATAAGGGAATCCCATAACCGCAAATAAAGAACAACAGGGCTTATGATTGATGGAGTAGAAACGATATCAGTATTAAGTTGTTCTCGGAAAACCGCATCCGAGCAGATCTCCCAACCGTACAATCAAACGGGAAAGATTAACAACTAACCAGGAAATCGGGATCACTTGGCAATACCACAAGAAAGCAACAGGTTTGGAAACTTTTAAGAACATCCGCTTTTTATTCCTTGCAAAACACGTAAAACTAGGACAGTGGGGAATAAAAGCTTGTTTCCCCACAGAATAGGCGTCATCAGAATCGGCGACTCGGCCTATATTTTTGTCAGGACATAACAGCCTGTACATTTCACACTCGAAATATCCGTGTTCTTATATTCCATATTCGCATACTATTATTAGGAACTGCGGCCACAAGCAGTTCTGTGACGTTACACCCAAACCAGCTCAATTCTAAATCAATTTCCAATTAATTCGACTCGATTCGATTTCAAATCAAATCATTTATTTGCATTACATGGGTAATTTGACAGTTGGTAAATGGTAGGGTAGTACATCACATGCATCCAGACACAAACTCTTGGAAATGCAAATTTTTCAGCTAACTTCAACCCGTGGGCAATTAAGTAGAGAGACCACATTTTTGTTTAAATTTTTCCTTTCATACGTCCTTTGATACGCAATAGCTTTTAGCATCTATAGCATCATTAAAATGCCTTCGCGTCGACCATACCATATCTGGCTGTTCTTCTTTGGGTCTGCTCATACCTTTTTCCGCAGAAAGGCCGCGTGCGTCATCCAAGTCGGCATCCTCGGCTGTACCCTTTTCCGAGAGATTACGCGTATCATGGTAGGTAAATACCCGCGTGCAATCCCTCCTTACATTTATTGGAATACTCATGTGAATAACATCGGCCCGAGGATTCGTTGTCCTTTCATTTCTGCGAGATGAAGCCGACCGTTAGGTACCTTGTAAATATTTCATACAGGGTGTATCCGATCGCTAAGGACGGGTCGGATAATGTTTAATTAAGTTACAGATCAACAGATGTGTTCGGATGATAACGTGCGGGAACTATAGTTTTCCGGGTTATTGGGATCTTAAATTATGTAAAGGGTTTTGAAGCAAAATTCTAAACGGTAAATGGGATCATTGATGACAAAACGGCAGTTTATTTAAAGTAACGCCTGATCATCACCTTCCCTCAGATTAGATACAAGCCAAGAATATCAAATCAACGTTAAGACTAAAAAAACGCGAAAGTAGGTATTTAAAAAAATAAAAAGTGTCTAAAATTACTTATCATGGTGAAGGAAATTTACTTTTTTGGCATAGATTAAGCCAATTCTTTTGATCTGTCATAGGTTGTAAATATTTTAACAGTTATTTATTAAAAGCACAAAGTATCATACACCCAATAGAGCTAATACATAGTGTACATAATCACCTTCAAGTAACTAATCCCCCACCCACTTGACCTACACAATACACAATGTATGGAAGGAATTTATCACAAAGAAAGCACATAGCGCCGTCCGGTCAAGATACGCAAAGTGAGGGCCCACATCTTCCGCATTGGCCCACCCTTTTTATCGGGCGACCCTTGCAAAGGAATCATCGCTCCAATCCTACCCTTTAATAATGCCCTGACAGGATTTTGTCCAAGTAAATATGCAGATGAATAAATCCTTATGAGTTGCGAGAGCGGTTATTTTGTTTTGCTGTTTATTTAACTTGCGTGTGTTTCTTTAATGACGCGTTTTTTCAGTTCATTTAAGTATTTTTTGTTTCTTTCTCCAAAATTAAAACAAAACCCTAATTAGTATCTTTTTAGGACTGATGATAATCTGCAACCCCATTA